CAATACAAACCAATCTTGTAGCAGTTTTAATCTCTTCTTAGCGGGAATGTTTCTGGCCTGGTATTTCGCAATCATTTTCTCGAGTGCCTTTATGAGACTCCGAATTTGGATCCCAGCGTGGCCACTACAGATAAGCCTCTGTAAAAATATTAGCCATGATTCTCATTAAGCTACGCTGGGGCAACAAAGTGGGCGTTTTCAAGTTAATGGAATATAATTACAATAAGCTTGCAATTTCATTGTCAGTTGTTAATTACTTTTTCTCCTTAATTACTTTTATATCACAGATAATAGTTCCTACGTCGATAATTATAGCATTGATATTGTAAACAAGGAAATGATGTTTTACTTTGATGTTTTAAGTTGGACTCTACAGTTATGTAAACAGTCAAGACTGAGGCCGTCATTGTACGATCGTGATTTGAAATAACAACCACGAAAAGTAGCAAACAATAATGACATTAGGAGTTCAAATAATGACGCAACGAATAAATGTATTTAAATATCGCCACCTAGAATAAGTATATCATATATTTGGCCTATCGTGAAATCCCTTGAAAATATAATTTTTTAGAACATATAGTACTTCTAACTTCTATAACTTTAGACATATGTCACGGTTCAATTGAATAGTGCAAATAATTTCAAATATAGGAGCATTATAAATTGTCCCGTTCTTGGCGTCATAAGACGCTTTTTCAAGCACTACTGGGTTTAACTTAATTTCTGGACGTTTTGTGACGGTCTCGGGAAAAGTTTGCGTGTTTTTCTCGTCTTCGGCCGGAGACGAAACTGCAGAAGCGAAGACCCAGGGCGGAAATGCGAAGCAGCTGACCTGGTGTGATAGAGCCTCGGTGTCTGGGCAAGACAAAGTGCAGCTTCTGCAAGTCAACTGAAGCTGACATAGCAAGCGCTCCCTCTGAACTCCGAGTTCAGAAGGCGGCACGAGTCTGGGAACAGTCGGAGCGGTGACATATGCGACATAGTTGCCGAGCTGGCAGAACTTCGAGCCCAGATCAAGGAGACTTCGAGTCAAACACTTCTCAATGCAGTGACATGAAAATAATAAAACATGTCATGCAGAACCTGTAATTTCGAAAACAGTTCGATCAATGACGGACTATCAAGCTGTACTCATCCATCACTAACAAGAAATTAGCCGATACGTGTACTTAGGACACTAAAAATACTAGAGCGAATTTAGAAAGTACGAGTTTTAGTTTACTTTTCAACTCCCGTCTTTAGATCGAAGTTCAACTCTAGTCTAAAGACTGGACTTTACTTTACAACTCCAGTCCAGGCAGTCGCGAATCTAATAATTCGAGACTCATTAAAGCTTAAATATGACACAAATGACACTAATCTGGTAAAAAATCGCTATGTGGTTACAATCGCTATATAATCATTAGGTCTTGAAAGGATAGAGAGTGGAAAAACTCTCGACACGTTAATATTAAAATTATGTCAGCACACCATACGTCGACTTTGCAAGTGAGGAACACTGAAACTATAATGCAATTCCGTATTGTTTTTCTCAAGTAAATTTTTAACCAAAAATACATGTAAAAGGACTTCAATCGAGTGGCTGATAATTGCCTCTGTCGCGCGAAGTTCCTATAGAAACCGCACAAGAGGGCAAGAAGGCGGTATAGGTAGCTCGAGGAAGCCGAACATTCAATTAATGAATTGTTTCAATGACGGGTAAATCAACGAAAGTTTCGAGGGCGAAAAAATATAGAAGAAAGCTCGAAGAACTAAAAATCTTCTTTTCACGCACCGGATAAAATGGACATTTTTATAAAGCGATGATGATTCACTAAAATTGAGTAAAGTGATATAAATGAGAAAGAATTTAGCCAATAAGGCATGAAGAAACAAAATGCAAACTCTTTTCCAAGCAACAAGCCCTGACAGTCTTACGAGGGCAGCATGCAGGGACTGGACCTTGTAAAAATTCTCGCCAAAAAAGCGTGCTCGGAAAAGTCGGAATGAGTTAGGAAGAGAAAAGGCCAGGTTATGAACTGCAGGCGCTGTTAGTCGTGCGTTATAAATTCTACACCACATGCAACAAAATGAATTTCGGGGCACGGTCTAAAATGATATTTGAATAATACCACGAATTTTCAATTTGATGGTGGTTACTATACGAATGAATTGTTATTAACTAAATTACCCTACTCGTTGCATTGCTTAAATATGTTGTACGAATCAATCAAACTATATTGATCGCAATGCAGCGGCATTATAGGATTGTGCCCAAATTATTCACTTCTGCTCAAGATATCCACTTGGAGTCAAGAGAATGATTTTAATTACTACAAACTGAAAGCAAAAGTGCTGGAATACTGGCCGCTTTTCGAGCCCCCTGTGAAACAGAGCTGAGTTGCAGAAAACGTGAGTTTTGTCCATTCACTTTTGTTTTTGGAGCTTTCGTCCGACTGAGAATTTAGAACTCACATATCTACACAATTACGGATGGCAAACAATCGAGCGGCGTCACAGACCGACCCTTTCTAGCGGCGATTCTTGCTCTGGAAAGAACGCATCGCCGTTTCCTTTTTACCCGAAGTAGTTTCTTGTCTGACGAAGAAAGTGAATGCGGTGGAGATGAAAATCGGGAAATGTACGGATTCCAAGTCACAAAAAGAGGGGAAAAAGTCAAATCTCGGTCGATGCAACTTTTGTTTGTAAATTAGTAAATAGTTTCGCACATTCCGTAGCGTTCTTCTTAATACTTCACTGCAATATATTCCATAAATTTCCATATATTTTTAAAAAATTCGCCAATCCCAGTCTTCTCTTTATTGATATGAAATAACGTGATATGCGAGAAGTTAAACTCAACTTTCATGCATGCTCGCTGAATAACGACGTTGCTTGGTATGTTAACATGGAACTAAATAAAAAAAACATTCATATGTGACAAAAACCATATACATAATGTAAAAGAAACTTTGTTTCCATAGAGTCCTGATAAAATTGGGCTATAACAGGCAATCATTTAGCCGTGCCTATATAGCAGTGTCCATCGTTGACCCTACAGCTGCCTGACGTCTCTTCAATAACACTGCGCGCCAGACTGCAGCTGTCGATACTAGTCGTTGTCTTGCAGCAAGCCACGGGCCAAGAGAAGTAAACGTGAATTTACGGTTATTTTAAACTCCATAGATAGCTGGTGTTATAAATACAGTGGTATTTTTATACTCGTGGTCATCGCTATTTGGAAACTTCATGCTACTCTTACTTATTTCTTCACACAAAGCATAATTTCCATCTCAAATGCTCGCCGATGCAGGGAGAGTTAATAAATATTTTGAAATCGCAATCTTAAAATTTATGTTGCCTATTGAGTAATAAACTTTTAAAATTTACCCATGGCTAATATGATTCTCGAACTACTAGAGAAATGTGATTTTCATAGCTTTAAGATTTTTATTCATGAAAACGATATTTATTTTTCCCCTTCTATAAAAAACTGACTAGGTACGATTTTCCTCAGTGACACCAGAAAACTTCTTGCTATACGAAACGAGGGGTAACGAGTGCGAGTCGAGAGGGAACCCACGGCATTAGAGAGAAAAAGAGGGAAAGGGAAGGCTTAGTGAGAGAGAGTATAGAGGGAGTTGGGGGCGTAGCATGCAACGCTGGGGATTGGCGGGGGAAAAGCCCCCTGCCTCCGACCACCTTGAGCCTCACCAGTTCTGGTAGCGAGGTCGCTCGGAGAACACACCTGTGGAGCAGCATCGTCGTGTCGCTAGCGGTGCAACAACTGCGTCTCTTGTGCTCAAAAACGTACAATTATTTGTAATTTTTAATGTGAATATCAGTATCAGATTATTCATAGTCGTATATCAAATAACGATATGTAGGACCATTAAAAGCTTGTGGAAGCGTGAAAAGACAAAGCTTTAAATCAGGATCAATGCCGCGGTTCGCGTTTTATTAGTAGTCTAACTAGATTGCAGGTAATAGGGTGTATTGGACCGAATACTTCCATGATGGAATATCTAGTGTTTTTACAGACTGATGAACTGGTTTGAGCAATGTTTAAAAGTTTTTAAAACAAATAAGAGAACACCCTGACTCAAACTTGTCGCGAGGCAAACCGATGAAGAGGTTAGATTCCGACGATTAAAGCACAATGTTCAGTGTATTCCGATGGAAATTTGCGTGAAAGAACGTGTTAATTATCGTAAATCTGAAGAACATTTCATTATAAATATTTTTTTCGTTGTGATCACTCACTACTACCGTTGATGGAACTACGGTGTCGCCTGTTGCGTTTGCTTGTCTAGCGCCCTCGGCGCTTGTCTCTTCGGCCGCGCTGGTCTTCCAAGCCGTCGAAAATTTTCGAAGACATTGATTTTGACTAAGAAGTGCAACCAATATTACGTACTAAACATGCATAGAAATATGACGCGTTTGATCGAGCTGTCGAATTTACATGATGTGTGATGGTCAATTGAATGGCTTTGAGGTCGGTGATGTAAATAAATCGTAACCGGAATTGCATTCTATTCGAACTGTTGATGAAGATTATAAAAATATTTGAGACGTACACTCATCGCACAAAAGGCTGACTGAATACTTGTATGCCAGAAGTTTGATAATTTGTGTTTACAAACTTAAATAATCCTTCCCAAAAGCACGTTTGTGTTAAATCATATCACGGTCCATCAAGGCAGCGAAAATTTTTATAATTCCTGTTTTTCTATGGGGTTAGGATGAAACTAAATTGAACCTCAACATATTTGAACGATATGCTTCCAGATGAATCAAAATAGACTGTGAATCTAAATACTAAAATAGTGCTTGTTATTCAATAAAAGCGAAAACCTCGAGTAGCTTTATTTGTAGCTATGTAACCACTGTTTACTTAAATATATATAGCATTCGTGGGATGAAAGTTTCGAGTTGATGTTGAAATTTCCGATATTTAAAATCGTAAAAAGTTCACTTTTTATTTCATATTCCTCTACTTCCCCGTTTCCAGATGAAAAATACAAAATTTTAGTTTTAGTACTTCATACCTCATGTAGATTCTGAAACAGCCTTGGAAACATCATGAATAACCGGTGAGGGTATTTTTACTCACTTGGCGAATTTAACTTAATATACAGTACCTGGGTATTATAATTACTCGGTATAATACTAAAAATTCTTTCTATACAATACTTTATTGGCCGAGTTGTTCAGTATATTGTGTCATTTTTGGAGTTTATCGTCACAAGTTTCAAAATATCTATCTTTTTGTTCTAGGTCAGTGTTGATTAAATGCGTGTCATGTGATATTCAGTTAGATTTATATAAAAAGCAATTCTAAATTATAGTCGCGTATTTTTTACATTATTTATATTAGGTTAAATTAAATTCACTCTGGCTCATGGTTTGAATTGTTTGAAATTATTGTTAGATAATAAATTGAAATTTCATTTCTTGGCTGTTATCATAAAAATTAGGCATAATTGTGGCTTCCTGAATATTGAGATCGAATTTTTGAATGGAGACGAAGTGAGTTGAGTTGTTCAGTGTCGTTCAGTGAACAGCAGCAAAAATTTCGAAGCCGCTTGTGTAGAAAATTCTCGCACTGAATAAGAGGTTTGACAAGTGCACCATCGTACAGGAAGACGAACGGAAGCGCTGAGAGCCGCTGGCGCGATCACGTCGCCGCGTCGGCGCCGATCAGAGCAGAAATGCCGCGCAGAAATGAAGACTTCGGTGCACCTGACAAGAAAATTCAGGTGAGAATCTTTAGGTTGAATAGAATCATTTTCAAGAGCTGGACATAAGATGTCAAGAGAGTTGTCTGTTACTTTTAAGGTAGTGAAATTACGGGCGAATTTGTATTTGAACCGATTTCTTCCGAGGGATTAGTAAACTGTTGGGCCCAACATATTTGCTCCCCTTCGAATCGGAATATCGTTGTAAATAAGAGCTAAAGCAACTAATAGAGTTAAAGCAAAAGCGTCCCGAGGCCTAGTAGAGCCAACATTGAGATAATTACCTTCTGGCATCGCTGGAGGAAAGTTTTCTATGTGACAGAAAGTGAAATGGAACGTCCAGATAGAATCAGAAGTTATGCAGCTACGAACACATTCACGCGCATCGTAACTCTGAGTTCAGTTGAAATAGTGAGTAAATGCTGATAAATACGTGCATAGTCTTCTTCGAGCTTGCTAGAACTATCGTTTCCTTGGAATTCACTGAGAAGATTGTGGTATCTATCTTGGATTTGCACAAGTATACAATGGGTAAATTTATCTGATATTGCGTATTTTTTGTATCAATATTTTGTCGTCAAATTTTTTTTCCTTGCTTTTTTCTCACTTTCCTATTATCTATTTAAAGACGATTGCAACCATGTGAATACGACCAGATTCTTATAATTTTCATTATTCATTTAATCATTAGCTGTTTATATCACAAGGAGGCAAACCGAAATTAAATCAAAATTATTTGAAAAAAATATATCAGCCCTGCAAGTTGTACGAAACAATGATGGTGATTGCAATTCTTGATCACTGTCACCTTCACTGAAGATTCAAACTTGTAACAGTCGATGTGTCTTAGCGAGACGAGTTGATTAATCTTTACGGAAACCAAACCTTGCGACCTCTTCGAATGTCGTGTTATAGTGTTACGTCTTCGTATGCGTCACGCGTCACCATAGATCAACAATAGTGCTACCGTAAGGCTCAACCACCAGCCTCCATTGTCATCACGCTTTGTTGAACGCTATAGAGATTCTCTTGCATTCACATTGAAATCTCTATGGCAAAGCGAGAGTAAGTTGCAGAAGAATCGTTGCTTCTCGGCGACATGTTGAACAAAGTAAAGTTTTTTATAAAAGCTCTTACTAGCTGCATTATCACTGAACGAAAGTAAAACTGTCGCTAGAATAGTATTCATTTCACGCCATTCATCGATAGAAAAATTATAGTTCCAAACAGTTCCTCAATTCTTCATTTGTTCATCAAAAGACATGTGTAATTTTTTAATTAATTTTCGCTCAAAATTAGCAAGTTAGTTTCCTCCACCATCAAACATTTTTTGTCCTATTTGAAACGGGTTCATGCTATTCTTATTAAAATTTTAAACTCTTATCTCCTTCGTACTAGCCCCAGTATACCGACAGGATACTTTTTATATAAATAATAGAGAATAAATTGTACATTCAGGCAATTATTGCCGTATAGCAACGATCTGAACACCTCGGAATAAAGGCCATTACAACAACATTATTAATGCACCGGATAAGAGTGAGGTTGTTAGGCGCTCCTCAGGAGTTATTGACACGGCCTTTAGATGCCGTTACCTGCAACGACGCGCGTCCAGAAGAGCAGCGAGCAGCACCAGTGAAAACCATCACTTACTCTCAGGGAAATGATTGCTACTTTTTCCAAATAACTATGCACGATGTGCCCTCGTATTGGTCATCCTGACCCAGTTTGGCCAAAGCAAAAGGTTGAATCAGTATTATGAGCAAAAAGTGTGTCATTATTTAGACAATATAACGCATTTATTTCTCTGAATGCAGCGTCGGGCGGGTCTCGGCACCAAGCAGCTCTCACACGCACACGTCTACGTAGCAGAGTCCGTAATTACAGACACGCCTCTGGCACACTAAGAAAAATGGAAGAACTTTGTCCAAGTATCGATGCACCTGTTGCTCTTGTACGAGTCATCCCGATACAGTTTTGTCCCCCAAAAGTGTGCATCAGTGCCACGTGCAAAATGAGCGTCACTCTTGGCACAACAAACGTCACTCTTTGCACAACAAACGTCACTCTTTGCACAACAAACGTCACTCTTTGCACAACAAACGTCACTCTTTCACTTTCTGCGCAACAAACGTCACCCTTTGCACAACAAACGTCACTCTTTGCACAACAAACGTCACTCATTGCACAACAAACATCACTCTTTGCACAACAAACGTCACTTTTTGCACAACATACGTCACTCTTTGCACAAAAAACGTCGTACTTTCTGCGCAACATATATTTGCGTGCACCAGCCTGAGATTGTCACGATCGGTGTTCGCTTCTGTCATGGCTGCGTGCGCTTGACTTCATATCGTACACGCCGCATGAGGCTTCACAACGTACGCGGTTTTAAGGCTTTTTCGGTATTTCTGTGCCAATGCTGACAAATACCTTGCAATGTAATTGTATTTCTAATTTCTAGGAATATACTGGTTTAAGTACAAATACCTTGCTGTGCAAATTGTATTTGTATTTTCTAGGTATATACCGGTACAAGTATTTTCTATGTCGAAGTAGACATATATACATTTCCAGAATTTCTGTTGACGAACGATCTGGATTGCCTGAAATTGAAAGTGAAAATCTTGCTTCCAATACCAGGTACTAATGTAGTCTGCTAAATTATAGTCAGTGACCACACAACGCGATGTTGAAAATATCAACATATTAATGCAATCAATTTGAAGTTGACGCGGTTAAATCAATTTCTTTGACGCAGTTAAACGTGTAGGCATCAAGTGGGTGTGCAAAATTGCATTTGAATATAATTTAACAAGTACGTTTTCTATTCTCAGAATTTAATTTCAATTTTACTGGTGAATGTTGACCAGTCATAATATGTGGGAGTGGTCGTTGCGGGTGTGACATCGAAGCGCTATATAGCGGCATTTAAGATGATATTAATGGTAATATATAATCTAATAAAAAATATTGCATTTAATTTGTACGAAAGATTTATTCGAGCCGCATATTATTGAATATCATAATGAGCAGAATTGATATATAAATAGAAAATAGTCACACTAAAGAAATGAGAAGCTTCTGATTTGTCTGGCAATCGAATTTTTTATGAACTATTTTAGAACATATTTCTTACTGAAATAAAATCAAGCTAAAATTTTTCATTGAAGAGAGAGCTGTGTTTTTAGCGCATTTTCTCATTTATGAAAAAAGCGCTATTGTGCTCGTCATGTCCGTCTTTCTGTCTGTCCGTCCGTCTGTCCGTGACTTCACGTTTTAGTCGACGAGAAAATGTTCTCTCTGTCACTCACTGCAGTGAGTATTGAGCTATATTTTTTTCTATTATAGTTGGCCAATTAGGACTCATTTAGCTTATTTTTAATAGTTGGATGAACATTTTTATTCTATATTTTGATTATTATTGGCTCGTTAGATATTCACGATGAAGGGAAGAAAATTAATCGAAATGTTTACCCGAGCCCAACGAAAGCCTTGCGTGGATTACGAGCGAAGAAGTCAAAGCTTTCCCTGTGCGTTTGAGCGCATCGCTCGGCCTCGTGTATGGATGATGATGCTAGTGCTGGTGCTGGTGCTAGACTGGTGCTACTGGTGCTGCTGCAGGTGCTGCGTGTGATGCCACTGGTGCTGGTACTGGTGCTGCTGGTGCTGCTGCAGGTGCTGCGTGCGAAGCTAATGGTGCTAGTAATGGTGCTGCTGGGGCTGCTGGTGCTGCAGGTGCTGCGTGTGAAGCTAATGGTGCTAGTAATGTTGCTGCTGGGGCTGCTGGTGCTGCAGGTGCTGTGTGTGATGCTACTGATGCTGGTACTGGTGCTGCTGGTGCTGCTGCTGGAACTAGTGCTGCTACTTGTGATAGGAACGGAAATGATGCTGCTGCTAATGCTGCTACTTATGTATGCTGGAACTGATGACACTGCTGCTGGTGCTACTGCAGTTGCTGCATGTGCTGCTACTGGCACTAGTGCTAGACTGATGCTGCTGCAGGTGCTGCGTATGCTGCTGCTGGTGCAATGGTGCTGCTGCTAGTGTGCTAGTGTGCTAATGATGCTGCTGCTAGTGCTGCCCATAATGGTGCTGCTGCTAGTGCGGGGGCTGATGCTGGTGCTGATGCTGGTGCTATTGGTGCAGGAACTGGCACTGCTGGTGGTGCTGCTGCTTGTGCCATGACCGGAACTGATGCTGCTGCAAGTGCTGCTATTAATGCTACTGCTGATGCTGGAACTGATAGTACTGCTGCTAGTGCTAGTGTTCGAGCCAGGACTGTTGTTGCTAATTATGTTGTTTTAGGTGCTGCTGCTGGTGCTGCTGTTTGTGATGCTGCGGGTGCTTCTGTTAGTGCTGTTGGAGCTTATCTGCAAGCACCATTTGTTCCATGTTCCAGCAAATGCTACAGTGTATGTTTGACTCTGTGTAATGACACTGTAAATAACGTGCTGGTCTGTGGGCAGTGCTATCCATGCGAGATGTGTGCCTATCGACATTTCAAATATGCAGTTTTTAAATTTGTGAGTCGTTCATATTATTAATGAGCTACATAACTTTATAACATATTCAACATGTACATAAAATATCTTAAATCGTACGTCACCTTCCGCTGAATTTTATGCAATTACTAATGAACGGGCAATGTCCATTATTCACTAAATTAGTTGTACTTCGTTACATTGTACATTCGACCTTGTCTGGATGCGTTCATCGTGCGCATCATAGCCTAATATAATATCTATAATATATAATATAAATCTAGTGTGGAGTTTGAAATCTTAACTTCCTGGTATGCTATGATTTGAAGGGATTCAGGTGCAGGAACCTAACAATTCACCAACGTTTTGCCACTGTAATGTTGCATAAGAGAAAATTATTCATCACATTCGCGCGCTTTTTCTGCATCCTCGTCTTGCATAATTGTCGTGGCCGCGCGTGCGACTACGCGTCGTCCCGCGTCGTCCCTCGCGGTCCCTCGTCGTACCTCGTCGTCCCACGAATTGATTATCGAC